CGCCCCGCCCCGCCTCGCCCCGCCCCGCCGCGTACGGCACGTCGTGCGGTATTAATGTAATTATTGCCGGAGCCCCCGGGCGTGGCCGGGCCCGGGCCTCGTGCGGACACGCCGTGGACACACCTACGCCCACCCCACCCGCGAATGAGATTCCCGTTTCTCCTTTTGTTTCCCACCGAAACACGATAATAACTCTGCCAGGCCGTTCTCATGTGCAAACGGAGGGACCTTCTCCCCCCAATTTTTTTGTCAAGTTTTAATTTTTCTGTTATTATTTCCGGCATGCACCGTTTGTAAGTGTGAACTAACAGAGCCTGAGGATTCAACACAGCGTGTTTGTCAAATCGAAAAACTACGGAATAATAGCGAAAACATTTGCGAACGGTATTTCCAATGGTCGGAAAAGGGGGCCCGTGGCCCGCGCGGGGCCCAAAGAGTCCACGGAGCAGAGACTTCAACGCAAGCAGCGGGCTGCGCGGCCGTTTTACGTATTTGCCTCTTCACTTTGTCACATGCATCCATAAATGCGCCATTTCAACCTTATTTGCGATTTATAATTTTTCTGGCGAAATGGGCCCCAATACACCCGCTGCGACCGGCAGAGCCGCAGAAACGAGAGCGCGCGGCAACATAGTCGCAGTGTCGTGTGCAATGACTATTGCAAACAACTCGTGGCGCTTATTGGCGAGCACGCGCCCCACCTCGCGCTCTCAGCAAGCAGCAGCGAGCGCCCCACAGGCACGTCCGCGACGCGTCGTCTTCCTCGCGCCAAAATATATATAGCCAACTGCTGCAGGGGGAGCGAGAGAGAAAGAGAGAGAGAATTTGAGCTGAGGCTTCCGGGAGGAGCTGTGCGCCGTGCGACAAGGCGGCGCCGCCGCCGAGGCACGCGCAAATTGCGTTATTGCGGCGATAATTTGCCGATGACTCGCCTTCGCGGTTTGTCGCCGCCGCGGCCCGGGCGCACGCGTGGGCGCAGCGATGACGGCGAGGGTCCCAAGCAGGGCCAGGACGGTCCTTCAAGTCCCTAGGGACCCCATTACATTTTTATTTTACCCCAAGGTAAAAATCATGGCGCCCCCATGGACTCTAACGATCGTTCTCGTCCTCATTTTTTTGGGACCCCATAATATTTGGAATTTCCTCGACGTCCTAAAGTCACTTTTGGTATGTGTGCATAGTCCCGAGGGGTTGTTCATGACACTCGCTACACTACATACCCCAAAATGCAAGAACTTGAATGAAGTGCATGCACTCAATTTAATTGAGAACATGAACTTTTGTTCCAGGAAAGGAAAATGAACTTTATTCAAGTTCATGCTTTTTTTGAGGTGTAGTGCCGCGTCGCTGGCGAAGCGGTGGAACAAAGGGCGGTACACGTCACACGTACATCCAGGACTCTCTAGTGCGAGGTTTAGAGTCGGGCGAGTGTCCCCGAGGAAGGTCTTATGCAGAGCTCGCGCCGCCCACGCTATACACGGCAGAACCTGGCCGCCCGCCCGTCCAGGGCCAGGGTCAGGCCGGAGCTAGCTGGCTGGCCCACTTCTCAGGCAGCGTGCATTCACGTAGTAGGATCAACGTCCCCCCCCCCCCTCTCCCCTCTCGGTCACACCTTTTGGACAGCGCCCACAGCACCGCGCTGCCGGGGAGGGCTCGTAAAGAGCCTTGATCTCTCAGGGCCCGCGTGAAAAGAAACAGATACCAACAAAAAACGGTGGCAAGGCGAGGGGGAAAAAATCTTGCTTATGATGATCCGGCGTTCGAACCCCGGCGGTAGGCAGGCAATCCCACGGCCGGCTGGTCGGTCGGTTCGTTAGCGAGGTGCATCCCGCAGGAGCATAATAAGCGGGTGGAACAGCGTGTTCTGCGGCTGACAGCGGAGAGGCGGGTCGGGCGGGAGGAGCGGGGTGCGAGGTCCACGAGGGAAACATCATTTACAGTACAGCGGGAAACGCACGACGCGGCGTGTGTGCGGTATGTACGTGGGATTCACGACGAAGGATTCGAACTAAACCTCTAGACGGGCCGGGGCCGCGTTGCGGCGGATGCGACGGACTCGGTTGGTTTCAGCACAAGCAGCACGTATAAGCTGAAAGCCGTGGCGCGAGTCGGCGGAGTAAGGGGGGTTGAGGGGGTAGGGGGGCTGGAATACGTACTGAGCCAAGACCGGCTTGTGCACGAGTGGGGTGGCGCAGCAAGGTGCTGGCTCGAGCCGCAAGGCTGCCAGGCAGCGGGCCCAGTATGTAGGCGTCCTGCGAGCGTCCCTGCTGGAGAAGGGAGAAGGGGAGAGGGGGCAGAGAAAGGCTCCCGCGGGAAGGAGAGGGGGCAGGCATCGCAGGGCGCCATAGCTAGGCACTCGCGGCCATACTACCACTACGTTCGACGGCGACGCGGCGCTGCGGGGTCGGGTCAGCGTGGCGTGGCGGAGCGTGGCGCAGCGCTCCGCGGCGTCGCGGAGTGGAGTGGAGCGGAGAGGAGAGAGACCGACCAGGCGACCCACATCGCCGTGCTTGCCCGTCCTGGGCGGGTCCGACCCGATCCGAGCGGGGAAAAATAATTTAGCGATCCGCGCGCCCTGACGCCGCAGCGCAGCCCTCCGCCCGGCCTGGCCGGCCGTCTGCCCGCCGCTAAAGGGGGTCATCGGCGTCCAATCCGGCGGCTCCGTTTATTGGCCCGGATTGGCGGTCGCCCCGGCCAGCCGCAGGGAAAGGAAAAGGCGGGGGGGAGGGGG